GGAATGCCTTCGTTCACTTCTTGGAGGTTTGAAGCTTCCCTCTCTCACCTTGCAGGCAGGTGGCAAAAAAGATACTTACATTACTGCTGTTTGAGAACAAACCCACTGAATTTTGGAGTAGACCCCTGAGCCTTTCCTGGCTCAGCAGCTTGTTTCTCTGTACGGCTTAAAGCAGTGAAGCACCTTTCAATAGGTGGCATGCCTGCTGCAGAGCCATAATCCGTGTCCAACATCTTTCCCAATGCGTTTGAGGTCCACTTAAGCTAACCTTCAGTTTGTTTTTCTGAAGACTGGTTGTGTTCTAACAGTAGACTACTACTGAGCACTTAGCAAGTCTTAGACCTTTCCTTGTTTAGGTTTGTCTTCATGTCTTGCACTGAGAGATGACAACATCCCTTTGCAATCTGCACTTCCACAAACTCCACTATGAAAATGCAGTAAACCGACTCCAAACCCTAATCTCAGGATGGGCTTACAGCTTTTAACTTGTCAGAGGTATCTTTGTTGTATGACCCAAGCAGCAAGAGAATTCAGAGTACAATTTAAATGGCAGCATTATACCATTTTAAGGAAATTGAATTGTCTCTGTTACCAGTTCTGAGGCAGTGCTTTGGTTAGAACCTTCAAAGCTCATTAGTTGAGGTGCCTTTCTAGCAAAGTATATAAAAGCTCAGGGCAGTGATTTCATCCCTGGTAAACGGGGGCAGACGTCAGTCAAGATAAAGGGAGTTTTTATACCAACAGTAATTGAATGGTTGTGGTCAAGTGACAAATCCCAACTGGCCACCGGAACTCGGACGTGGAGAAGGTGGTTTGTTGTTAGATGCCTGAAGAGTGTTAACGTTGTCAGCTTTGCCCAGTTACCTGGAAAAGGTGACAGGTTAGGAAAACATGCTTACCACGAAGAGGAGAGAGTAAACTTTGTAAGAGAACGGGGGCAGTTCAGTTGGTTTGTGACGTTTTCAGGAAGGCTGCAGTGCCAGATAGGACCTCTCTGGAATGACTCAAGGTGCTGCCTTCTGGTCCAGAAATACGCAAACCCATGATCTGCGAAGGGAAAGGGTGAGGAACGCTTTGGGTTTGTTTGGGGTTTTTTGTGAGTGTGTTTTTAAGTTCAGGTAAACACCCCTTCTTCTTCCCTGAGTTTGAACCAACCTTGGCACACGTATTCTCTCAAAAGCAAGCTTAAAGCCCCATTTACAAAGTAAACATCCACCTTTAATTGTAACTTAGAAGCCAGAGGAAGGATTGGCCAGTAACATTCATATAGAATTGATTTGGTTTCCATATTTAAGTAAGCTTTCAAGGCCAGACTTGTGCTATTACTGATGTTAAATAGGAAAAGGGGTAAATAACCAAATCTACAGCTGCAGTTGCATCATTCCATTCATGCCTGAAAGAGCTGTCAGGGGCAGGGGCAGGGTTTTCCCCACTGCCTGTGCTGCAGTGTTAACATGTGGGAGAACCAAGGACTTCATCACAAATGGGCTCTGAGCTTAGTAAATGAATTTCAGCAACTCATCAGCACTGAGTGGCTGGAATAGTGAGGTACATGCCATGAAAAACTATTCAGGGTGTCTTCAAAACCAAAACCAACCCCAGAGCAGAGCGAGAATGACCGTTCTCTTCAAAGTACTAGGTCTTGATGAGTATTTTGTACTATTCTACTCAACAATGCCTCTATTTCCTGGAGGAAATAAAACCCCACAAACTTTTAGTGTAGAGAAAAGTTATCAGAGAGGCTCAAACAAAACGTAAGTGATGTTTAACTATTCCTTATCCCTTACAATGAAAAGAAATTAAAGCTGATTTTGCGGGGGTGGGGGGGTGGAGGGAAGTTAAGAAATAGGTTAGAACTAAGATATTTGGAGTGAAATCAGACCAGAAAAAGTGCCAAACTGCTTCTACAGGGTGTGTCCAACTCCAAAGGATAGAAAATTTAAACTTTAGCCAAGGAAAAGTAGATCTAACTCAATAAAAAGGTACAAACAAGCATGTAAAATGCTAATTCTGTAGTCCTTAGTGGAAATTTAAGATGTTCTGGTCAAGTAACTCCATGGTACAACTGTGTTTAAATGAAGAAGGTTTTAAAATAGATTTCCTGCCATACTAAAGATTTTGGGGATGCAGTGTACAAACTGGAAGTGTCAAAAAAGTGACTATTCAAACTAGTTCAATGCTTAAGTCTAGCCTAGGAAAATAAGTTGGGTACTAAACTGAAGTGTATTTTATTTCCAGTGATGATAAGACAGTCTCTTCAAGTCCCTCATGTTGCTACAACACAATTTAACACATGGTCTTAAGTATTAAGCTGCCCGTCAGCTTAGTTAATTGTGGATTTTAACCAGGTGATTGACACAAATGTTGCAAGGATGAATGCCTCAATACCACCATTATATTAATTGTATGGATGGATCTGATGTTACTCTAAATTATTTTGTCAATTTTTTTGTAAAAATGCAAGCTATGGTGTGCTTTAAAGCACTTTTTTTCTAGGTTGTCAGCTTTAAATCACTACTGACCTTGTACGTAGGATGAATGAGGTTAATTTAGATCCTCTAACCATCAAAATACAGGACTAAGTCTGTGCAACATGCTGCTGTCACTGGATGGTTTGTATTCTTCTCTGGTACCATCAAGTTACTTCAAAACTTAAAGAAGAAGAACTGCTTTACCCGTCCTGCTGTTCAGCCAAGCCTGAGCTATAAAATTGTAGTGGTGGTGTTCAAAACCAGCAACAACGATAACACAAAACTTCATGTATCTTCACTATGACTCTTGCAGCAAGGGAAAGGAAAAGGAGGCACGTGGGTCAGGAAGTCACGGCACCGCTCGTCCTGTCCTGACACTTGGGTAAATGCCTCTTCCCACTCCGCAGCTATTCACACCTTGGGGCCGGGAGGAGGTGTAACTGCTGGCACAAAAGCTAAAGTGAACGTTGTACTTCGTGCTGTA